AGTAACGGATCCTCTAAAATTTAAATTTTGGCATATTCAAGATCAAAATGCTCTGTTTTTGCATACTCGATTGCATGCAAACGATCAAGTCGATGCTACATTTGATCATTTTCAAGTTCAAGTCTTGATATGATCTCGCCATGATTGTTTGAATTTTGTGGATCGTAAACATTAGTCGAACGTGCATTCAGTACCGCAAGTCCATGTCAACGACAAAATACTTCAAAGTCACAATGCTTGTCATATAATTGTCGCCATCTTAGTATGAGTTCGATATGAGCACCTGGAGACTGGTTGCAAGCCCAACAATTAAATGTCCAACTTAACAGTGATAAAGGTTGATTGGCTCATTGCAAAACTCATGCTTTCGTCCATTCCACGTTGAACCACTGAAATCTGTATATGATATAATAGAAGGAACTCTATTCATCGATGTTGATCTATTAATTGAACATTCACATTTGTTGGCTGAAGATGAACTATTTTGTTCATTGCTTGAAGAAATACCCTTATTGGTTTGGCTGAATTGTGTATTTGATGTGCACCTATACATTTTGTTTCTAGTAATTTACACATTTTTGAATGCTAGTTACATTTGTTATATGCACAATCAGTTGGACACTAATTACATATGTTAATCTTCATCAGGCATATTCATCTGATAGGTATTGTTCATTAGACAATATAGTAGATCGCTTAATAGTTGTCAACTCCCTTCCAAATGCATTGGCCACCATGTCAGTTGCTAATTGGAGCATATAATATCAACACTTACGCACCATCATCCTATTATTCTCCTTTTGTACATGTTTAACTGCTGCTTTGTAGTCCACTCTATCCTTTCAGGGCATGAAAAGTGAAAGTCTATGTGGCACCGGTATGCCAAGTTCTCTTAGATCTATTCATAATGAGTGTGATTTATTAGCACGGAAAGCCCATTCTCATTGGAGTCTGGCATATTACTCTTTTGGATCAAAAAATCTCTCACTCTTATAATCATTATTTCATTTGTGTAACAACCAAACTCGTTGATGTCTATGGCTGTTATTGATGGTAGATGGTCTTGATGTAGACATAACGTTCAATACATGCAATATCAACCACCCCTTATTGTGTTTTTATAGTGGTTTCAATGGATGATTGTTACATAGTAATGTTTTGGTTATTGTGTTCAATAAAGTAGCGTGTAGTCATTTATTTTGTTGGATAAGCATATTTGTCATCAATGCAGTAAGGTGTAGTTACCTTTTTATTTGAGTTGATGGTCGTACATTGAAATAAGAGTGCATTTAGTGTGACTACACACTGTTACCTATTAGTGTTACTATACACTAAGACGTCTCATTCATTGAAGTTACTAGACTCGGATTCACACTGCTAAAAGGACAAATGCATCAGTGTTTTTTTCATTGTGACTACACAGGCCACCTCACATCCCAACTATATATTTAATCAAATTCAATGAAACATTCAATAGTATCAGGGTTTTTGTTGTTGAACTAGTTTGTGGTCACAGGGTTTTGATTATGACTACACACCAGTGCATTGATGTGCAATGCAATGTATTATCAATTTATTGGTTTGTTTTTATTTAAAATAGTGCTAAGACACTTCATTCACATAGGCTGCTGAACAAGAAACAAATGAAACATGGCAACTACATCAATGTCATTCATTAAGGCTGTAGATTGCCGTACTCGCATCCATAATGCATATAAGTTTTAACGCATGTGTAATGTTCAATGTACATACTTCATCTCTAACCATGAATTATAGTCCATAAACAATGTTTGAAACTATGGGTTATCATTGAGAATCAGAGGATGAGTTTTTTTATCCAATAAATCCTCACTTACACTATTCACGAATGGCTAGAAACACAATGATGGCGGAATGACAGTATCGTTTGACGGAAAGAGAAAATCTAACCTTAGATTTACGTTCTTGCAATATATGAAGGCCTTGAAAANACATTAGTCGAACGTGCATTCAGTACCGCAAGTCCATGTCAACGACAAAATACTTCAAAGTCACAATGCTTGTCATATAATTGTCGCCATCTTAGTATGAGTTCGATATGAGCACCTGGAGACTGGTTGCAAGCCCAACAATTAAATGTCCAACTTAACAGTGATAAAGGTTGATTGGCTCATTGCAAAACTCATGCTTTCGTCCATTCCACGTTGAACCACTGAAATCTGTATATGATATAATAGAAGGAACTCTATTCATCGATGTTGATCTATTAATTGAACATTCACATTTGTTGGCTGAAGATGAACTATTTTGTTCATTGCTTGAAGAAATACCCTTATTGGTTTGGCTGAATTGTGTATTTGATGTGCACCTATACATTTTGTTTCTAGTAATTTACACATTTTTGAATGCTAGTTACATTTGTTATATGCACAATCAGTTGGACACTAATTACATATGTTAATCTTCATCAGGCATATTCATCTGATAGGTATTGTTCATTAGACAATATAGTAGATCGCTTAATAGTTGTCAACTCCCTTCCAAATGCATTGGCCACCATGTCAGTTGCTAATTGGAGCATATAATATCAACACTTACGCACCATCATCCTATTATTCTCCTTTTGTACATGTTTAACTGCTGCTTTGTAGTCCACTCTATCCTTTCAGGGCATGAAAAGTGAAAGTCTATGTGGCACCGGTATGCCAAGTTCTCTTAGATCTATTCATAATGAGTGTGATTTATTAGCACGGAAAGCCCATTCTCATTGGAGTCTGGCATATTACTCTTTTGGATCAAAAAATCTCTCACTCTTATAATCATTATTTCATTTGTGTAACAACCAAACTCGTTGATGTCTATGGCTGTTATTGATGGTAGATGGTCTTGATGTAGACATAACGTTCAATACATGCAATATCAACCACCCCTTATTGTGTTTTTATAGTGGTTTCAATGGATGATTGTTACATAGTAATGTTTTGGTTATTGTGTTCAATAAAGTAGCGTGTAGTCATTTATTTTGTTGGATAAGCATATTTGTCATCAATGCAGTAAGGTGTAGTTACCTTTTTATTTGAGTTGATGGTCGTACATTGAAATAAGAGTGCATTTAGTGTGACTACACACTGTTACCTATTAGTGTTACTATACACTAAGACGTCTCATTCATTGAAGTTACTAGACTCGGATTCACACTGCTAAAAGGACAAATGCATCAGTGTTTTTTTCATTGTGACTACACAGGCCACCTCACATCCCAACTATATATTTAATCAAATTCAATGAAACATTCAATAGTATCAGGGTTTTTGTTGTTGAACTAGTTTGTGGTCACAGGGTTTTGATTATGACTACACACCAGTGCATTGATGTGCAATGCAATGTATTATCAATTTATTGGTTTGTTTTTATTTAAAATAGTGCTAAGACACTTCATTCACATAGGCTGCTGAACAAGAAACAAATGAAACATGGCAACTACATCAATGTCATTCATTAAGGCTGTAGATTGCCGTACTCGCATCCATAATGCATATAAGTTTTAACGCATGTGTAATGTTCAATGTACATACTTCATCTCTAACCATGAATTATAGTCCATAAACAATGTTTGAAACTATGGGTTATCATTGAGAATCAGAGGATGAGTTTTTTTATCCAATAAATCCTCACTTACACTATTCACGAATGGCTAGAAACACAATGATGGCGGAATGACAGTATCGTTTGACGGAAAGAGAAAATCTAACCTTAGATTTACGTTCTTGCAATATATGAAGGCCTTGAAAAGTTGCCATTGGTATGCCTATTACCACTCCTCAAGAATTAGAGCAAGCATTGTTTCGTATTCGAGCTAAAAATAATCAAATGACTATCTATTGCAATCGGTACAACCTCCGTCTCATCGTAAGAGACCATCCTGCAGAATGGAGGATGCAAGAAGCAATTTTAAGCTTCCAAATGAGTGAGGAAGATGGATGGATTTCTGATGTGGAGATATTTAATAAAGATAAAGACCCATGAAGAATTCTTATGCAACTCTTGTGTTGTAACATTTAGATATTATTGTTGTATTTGTGTTTCCAGTGTGTTGCTTTATTATGTTTCTATGAAATATGGTGTATTACTCCAATTAGTAGTGTCCATTTGTATTCTATAAATTGCGTTAAAGTTGGTTAAAAAAACGTTGCATAGAGTATTTGATAACTAATTTGAAATGCAGTAATGGAAGTACAATATTTCAAAATATGAACCCACAGAGTTTTTATATACATCACTAATTAACACAATTTATATAAAACATTGATAAAAAAAATGGACTACGTCCCACAAGGTGGTGGTCTTCTCTGTTGCTTGGGCCATTGTCCATCAGGAGGAGCTGGAATCTCTTGAGTCACGCCACCATCTACAAGATCATGTGCATGATGGGCAGGATAATTAACTCCATGCCCACCTCTGCCCCACCCTCTGTGTGAAAGTGATGGCTTCTGTGTCACTCCCTCAATAAGAACCTCAGCATCATCGAAAAAATCCTCATATGGGATAGGAGAGGTAGGACGATGGGGCAATGGTGGGACAGTCTGTGGAATACAAGCCACATTGGAAAGTGATATAGCTATCTAGTCCAGTACATGTGCCACATCTCCTGTAACCACTAGCTCCTGTGAAGGTGTGCATGGTGACAGCAATGTATCCACGTCTAGTGAGGTCAGTGGTGGAACGGATGATGTCACTGTAGGTTTCTATATAAGAGGGTTAATCGGTGGTGTAGTGGCATGGTCAACAACTAGTGGTGGACTGCAATAATCAGCAATGGGGATATATGGTGTAGGTGGACACACTCCGGTGGTCTAGGGAACATATGAAGCCGATGGGCCTGCATGTAATGATGTCGAAGCAGTATCCATGATCGATGAGGATGTCTGTCCATGTGAGTGTGCAACTGGCTGTCGTGGAATACGTACACCAAGTTAGCGTGCAGGCACTGGTGCTATAAATGATGGCTATTGAATGTCTACTGGTGATTGCATAAGTCTACGGTGATCCAAAATAGATGACAAACATTTGTAGGTGACATCACCAATCCGGCTGATGGCAGCCAAATAAGTCCTCAAATCATGTTGGCCCCTAACAATATCAAACACCGTGTGATATGTCTGTGTCAGTGTTTGTTCCTGCATCACCATACACTAATGATATACAACAATATTACGTAATTTGTGTAATACATTTATTTTAAGTAAAAATTATACAACACACACCAACAGCTTGATGATACTGCCGACCAGTTAGAAATCGACATTAGGTCACAACATTGGTAGTCCGATAAGTAGACAAGTGATGCGTCGATTACACTTCATGTATGGATAAGTGGCATCCAACATGTCGAGGGTAGGCTTGTCATGAACAGTAGTATCCCGTCGCTATTCCCACATGCTGATGTAGCACTGATGTACAACGGTCTAGTCATAACCATGTCAACGACGCCTATTTATGGAACACAACTCCTTACTCAAATCACATGTTGCTGGTATCAACTGTCTGCACCCAAACTATTGGAAAACACATTCGGGGAAATGCCAGCTCGTGTAGTCCAAAATTCCTGACCCCGTAAATAGTAATTTGGTAGGCTGCCCAACACATCCATAGGGAAGGGTTGCTATATCATTTACAAGATAAGAATGTAAATTATCGTTAGAAGACATTAAATAAAAATTTTAGTAGAGTTTTCCCTATAAGGATGACCCTTAAAAAGTTTCAAAACACCAGTTGCATATTATATTCCATTCACACTGGAAACACAAATACGATAACCTGTTTAATGAAATTATACAAAATTAAATAAAAGTTTTGACAGAGTTTCCCCTATAAGTATGATCCTAAAAAATTTTCAAAAACACTTGTTGCATATTATATTCCATTCATACACTGACCACAACCCAAAACATGCCACAAACATCCACCAACCATACAAACCTCCAATTACTGGACAACAAACCACAAACAACACAAATATCTCAAAAAATTACGTGAAATTATTGGTACACCTGCTCATCCCGCATTTGGTCAAACTAAATTCTTTAATGTCTGAGAACATAGGTAGGAGTATGTGCTCGAAATGCAACATCCCAACTAGTAAGTATGAGTAAAAAAATGAATCGTACAATCCAAATATTGTCTTACCTATAAGTATGACCCCGAAAAAGTTTCAAAAACACCAATTGCATACTATGTTCCATTCATACTAGATACACAAATACGACAACCTACTCATATGAAATTATACGAAATTAAATAAAATTTCAATAGAGTTTCCCCTATAAGTATGACCCCAAAAAACTTTCAAAAACACCTGTTGCATATTGTATTCCATTCATACACTAACCACAACCCAATACATGCCACAAACATCCAAGAACTATAGAAACCTTCAATTACAGAACAACAAACCGCAAATAGCACAAATATGACTGTTAGTTGAACAAGCTTGAGCTGAGCTTAAAATGCTTATTTCTTAATCAAGCCTAAACAATTGTTCAAGTTTGGCTCGTTTTCTAAACTAGCCGAGACTAAACGAGCCCAAAATGAGTCGAGTTCAAGCATTTATACATAAACGAGTCGAGCCTGTCGAGTTTGAGATGAGCTTGTTTGACTTTTTTTTAAATGAACCTAAAAATTTGTTCAAGTTCAGGCCCATTTAAAAATGAATCGAGTTGGAACGAGCCAAATCCGAGCCAAGATCGAGTAGCTTAGTTCGATTAACAACCTTAAACACAAATAACTCAAAAATATACGTGAAATTGTTTTTATACATGTTCATCCCACATTTGGTTAAGCTAATCTCTACAATGTCTGAAAACATAGGTATGAGTATGTTGCTTGAAAAATGCAACAACCCAATTGGTAAGTACGAGTTAAAAAAATGAATCGTACAATCCAAATATTGTCTTACTTATACCCATGAGGGCCTGCCGGCAACTCATTATGTGGCACGACATGTGGTGCAGGTGCTGGTGTCGATGCAGGTGCAATACCATCTAGTGGGTTGTTCTCTGCATGTGCATCTGCTCCATCTACTACTATATATGGTAATGGGACACGTGGGAGTAATTGCTATAGACAAATGTGCGCTAAACACTCCCATGCCCATACCTGTATGGATACATGAAAAAGTTGTAATGTAACACATAATTATGGCATTGCATTAAACTTAAAACAAAAATTGTAAGTACATGAAAGAGAAGGATGAATTATACCTGAAGTAGAACAAGCAAGTCGTCGATATCCTTAGCATCACGTCTAGTCGTGACATACATCAATCTCGCGATATAGCCAGGCCAATGCCATGTTCCCCTAAATGCATTTACCCCCAATAATAAGATCGACAATCAATGGAAGATACATCAACTTCACCTTGTTCGATGACTTGTCTATAAACAAATAAGAACATATCAATAGCATGATGTATACTCTAGCATAACATGCTATGAGATCATCGTCAGCATTAACAGGGACACCTCTATCCAAATGACCTCGCAATGCACTAAGCTTGAAGAAAGACCTGTCTATAGCTCATACAATAGGTGTAAAACCAAGCACAAGTCGTGCCATGAGGACAACTATCCCTACCACACACTGGCATACCATCGATTGGTAGTCCTATAAGCATTGCGACATGGTGAAAAGTGATATTGGCCTTGTCGAAAGGAAGATGGAACATGTGTGTCTCAACATGCCACCTCTCAACTAGGACTGTGATGAGATGCCAATTCAACTGCTTCGACACAACCTTGTGTGCCCTATAAAATCCTGCAGTCAGCAAGTGAAAAATGACTCTCATCCGTGACATGTAGCTGTTGTGTGGTGTGATTAGTACGCCTGCAATGCAAAGGTGGGTGATCTAAGCCTTTCCATATATACTCTAACCGATACTCTGCCTGTAATGATAAAATAGAGTGGTCATGTGGACTTGGATGTAATAAATTTCTACCGTCATTGTCCATGGATAGAACAAAAAATTTACAAAAATTGAATACAATAATCAATTATATAACAAAACATCCGCAATTATATAGTGAGAAAGTTAAGATTTCCAACATAGAAGATTGCATAATTATATCATTACAACAAACATCTCATTCTTATTGTTACCTACCACATATTGCAACATAATCACGTTGTAAGGTCCAATACACACTTTAGTACATCATAGGAACTTAACAACTAAGAAAAGAAACTACATATGCCTTGGGAAAAGATAATGGACCTCGGGTGCTTATGGATGAACACTTTCGATGATTGTGACCTACTTCGTCACACAACCCACAATGTATCTGATTACGACCGTCTGGCAGGAAGTCCATCTTATTTCATATGCGCAACATCTTTGGATGACTAACCAGACGTTGGTTGCAATCAGGGACTAACTTGGGATGTGGAGGATCTTCCCAATAATGTTCATGATCCAGAGCATGCATTTAGGGCTCCCAAATTTTCTCTAAATTATTGATGTTGTATGCGTTATGTAAGACTAAAAATGCAATCAGAAATGAGATCATATGACCAATACATGAGAGAAAGAAATTCTATAAATTGCCCATTTTTTGCATGTGCACGACCAATCTTCAAGAGAAACAACTTGCTTTTGACTACCTCCAGTCATCACTTCAGCAAAACAACGCTCCTTATGAAATGGTGTCACTTTGTGGACATGACTCATTTGTTGCGCATGTTTTACTCATTCCACAACATCTTTAGGGAACTCCAACCCATTTTCTTTCCTTTTTGCCACCTTATCTCGATGTTTGAAATGATACTTAGTGAACCGATAAAATATTTATTACACACAAGTAGTTATGGACAAAAACCTAGCTAGCACCTTGGAGAACACTGTTAAAACCTCAAAAATGTTAGTTTTCATTGTGCCATATTGTCATCCACCATCATGGGCTAATGTCCACTTCTCTAATGGTATTATGTTCAATTACTCAACTATTTCTTCTTTGCCATTGCTTATCTGGGTCATAAGCGCATTGAACATGTGAATCTGTCGTACTTTGCCAACCGTCCACATAAGATCATACAAATGGGCATCCTTAAACTGTGTATTAAAATTACTATGCACAAGTTTAAGACAAAAGTAGTGATAAGCATATGGTGGATGCCACCAAGAATTTTTCATGTTCACAGTAGAAATGATTCCCGCGTACCTATCAAAAATTAAACATATACCTTATCAACCCATACCTTATCAATTAAACATATACCTTATCACAGACATTGATAAGGTATATGATATCCGCCGAAGGTAATATAGGAAAAAAGACTAACTTGATTGATTCTCATCTTCCATGAAAGCAAATGCAATGGAAAACAGTTGCTTATTAGAATCAAAACCCTTCGTCACTAATAGCTTTCTCTTGTACTTGCCACGTAGAAATGTCGCATAAATACTGACAACAGGTCGATAANGACCTCGGGTGCTTATGGATGAACACTTTCGATGATTGTGACCTACTTCGTCACACAACCCACAATGTATCTGATTACGACCGTCTGGCAGGAAGTCCATCTTATTTCATATGCGCAACATCTTTGGATGACTAACCAGACGTTGGTTGCAATCAGGGACTAACTTGGGATGTGGAGGATCTTCCCAATAATGTTCATGATCCAGAGCATGCATTTAGGGCTCCCAAATTTTCTCTAAATTATTGATGTTGTATGCGTTATGTAAGACTAAAAATGCAATCAGAAATGAGATCATATGACCAATACATGAGAGAAAGAAATTCTATAAATTGCCCATTTTTTGCATGTGCACGACCAATCTTCAAGAGAAACAACTTGCTTTTGACTACCTCCAGTCATCACTTCAGCAAAACAACGCTCCTTATGAAATGGTGTCACTTTGTGGACATGACTCATTTGTTGCGCATGTTTTACTCATTCCACAACATCTTTAGGGAACTCCAACCCATTTTCTTTCCTTTTTGCCACCTTATCTCGATGTTTGAAATGATACTTAGTGAACCGATAAAATATTTATTACACACAAGTAGTTATGGACAAAAACCTAGCTAGCACCTTGGAGAACACTGTTAAAACCTCAAAAATGTTAGTTTTCATTGTGCCATATTGTCATCCACCATCATGGGCTAATGTCCACTTCTCT